ATAGTAACACAAGAGGAATAAAATAAAATACACAAGAATGGAGCTACACTATATATACAAAAGTATGTGGACACCCCTTCAAATTAGTGGATTCTGTTATTTCAGCCACACCCGTTGCAAGTGTTGCAACCGAGGACAGACGATTTTACGCGCTACTTGCTTTAGCACTCGGCGGTCCCATTCTGTGAGCTTGTGTGGCCTACCACTTCACGGCTGAGACATTGTTGCTCCTAGACATTTCCACTTCACAATAACAGCACTTACAGTTGACTGGGGCAGCTCTAGCAGGGCAGAAATGTGACTAACTGACTTGTTGGAAAGGTGGCATCCTATGACGGTGCCACGTTGAAAGTCACTGAGCTCTTCAGTAAGGCCATTCTACTGCCAATGTTTGTCTATGGAGATTGCATGGTTGTGTGCTCGATATATACACCTGTCAGCAACGGGTGTGGCTGAAATAGCCAAATCTACTAATTTGAAGGATGTCCACATACTTTTGTATATATATAGTGTACTGTATATTTCACATTTGTATCTAAAAGCATAATTGAGAATAATGTATTAAAGTTGGCATATTTTTTTACATTTTTGCCTTACCCAGGCCTCCTTTAAGACTCCATAATGTTTCATCTGTAGAATTGTCATATGCTCTGGATAAGAGCATCTGCTAAATGACTAAAATGTAATGTAAAATGTTAGTGCTAAGCTGCTAAACTGTTTTCAAGAGTTGCACAGGACTCAGGTGAACATTATCTAGGTTACTACTGTATTCATGTTCAGAAAGGTACGCAGTACGTACTGTATGTACGACACAAAGCTGACCGTGTAAAATCCCCTCCTCAGTGTACTACAGAACATTGTAAAGGAAGCAGGAGTAAGAGGAGTCAGTTTTGACTAAGCGTTTGCACCTGTGGAAGGTTGGCACCTGTTATTTTCAGAAGGGAATGAAAGAGAAGAAAAACAAAGCTGAAAACATGACCCAATAGCAGTTTCTCTAGAACTTTTGGTCCTATTTTCTTCTCCTTTTTGTTCCATCTGTTTCCTTCTTAAAAACAGGGTGTAAATACTTGGTATTTCAGGGCTCCCAGACTGTACACACTTTATATCAACTGTGCATTGTCTTCATTGCGCTGATCTGAATACAGCCTGTTAAAATCAGCTAAAATAGGAGAGTCCCCTGTGTGTGAGTGTGTGCGTGAGCGTTTCCCAGCACTATGGGGTCATGTGAAGGGCAGTGGGGTAGGATACTGACACATCTCACCCTTGGGCCTTGAGCATGTGCATTGTGTTTGTGTGAACGGGAATGTTTTTTCTGTTGATTTTGGGTTGGCATATGGTACTCCTACTACATACACTCACACCACACACACTAATCATAAAGTGTTTCAGGTCAAGAGGCTGCTAGAGGCTTTGTGTGTGTGTGTCAGGGTTTCCTTTAGGAAAATGTGGTGTCAGACATTTGACCGGCAGCATTTTCATTTACCGGACATTTGGTCCCCTGTGGCTCAGTTGGTAGAGCATGGCGCTTGCAACACCAGGGTTGTGGGTTTGATTCCCACGGGGGACCAGTACGAAAAAAGTATGAAATGTATGAAATCTGGATAAGAGCGTTTGCTAAATGACAAAAATGTAAATGTAAATTTGGGTGTATAACCTGATTAGGGCATCCACCCACGGTGCTCAGAATGACAGAAATCACATTTAGATTATGATAGTTCATATTAACAGAACATGCAAGTCAAGGATGCAATGATGTGCAGTCCATCTTACCAAATTCTGCTATATTTAGGTCACAGGTGTCAGACTAGGAGACCAGCTGTAGGCACAGTGATTCACCCCTCCACCTCCACCTCCACCTCATTTTACATTTTAGTCATTTAGCAGACGCTCTTATCCAGAGCGACTTACAGTTAGTGAGTGCATACATTTTCATACTGGCCCCCCCGTGGTAAACAAACCCACAACCCTGGCGTTGCAAGCGCCATGCTCTACCAACTGAGCTACACCGCCACCCCTCCACCTCCACCTGTCTGTCTCATTTCTGCTTCTCCTCTCCTTCTATTCCCCCCATTCCATTCCCCCTCCAACCATCAGCTGTGTGTGTGCGGTCTTTCTCTCCGTCCCTCTCTCTCTCTCTCTCTGCAGATGGAGCCTGTGGTTCTGTAGACACAGATAATGTAGCATACAGCAGTCAGTCAGCCCTCTGTCTTCTTTCTTTTCTCTCTCTCCCTCTTCCCGTCTTCTCTCCTCTCCCACACACAGATGTGTTCCATGCCTATGGGTGTGCTAGATAACACATACCTACGACACACAATCACGCACAGAAGTACAGAGACTCCACTCTCTCTCCAACTCTCTCTCTTTATCTCTCTCTCTCTCTCTCTCTCTCTCTCTCTCTCTCTCTCTCTCTCTCTCTTCACATAAAGGAGGAGTGGAAATTATGTAAAGCAACATATGTTTCTGAGTGCTCTCTGTAGGGAGATGTTAGTGAAAGAGGTCTGGTCTCTGATAACTCTTAATGACACTGTTCACTGCCCACACACACACTGCTTCCTCTCCATCACATACCTTGTATTATACCTTTTATAGAGTCACATAGTTATAGGCCACTCAGAGCCTAACCAGGATACTTGTCTGCGTGGGTTTGTGTAGGCTACATGTATACGTGTCTGCCCATGTGATTGTATAGCTACGGTGTTAAGGGTGAATCCATCCCATGGGGATTGTTGTTCCCTTCACTTTATTTCCTGTACTGGTTCTGGGGGAGTTTCCAGCATGCTGTGCATTGACTGATGGCCCTCTGTGTGTTTCAGACATTACACACACACTTTCAAAACACATTTGTGTGTGAGTGTTAGCGTGGGTCTGTCTGCGTAAGTAAGTATATACTGTAGGTCTAAAACTAACTAGGCCCCTATGTGCGTCTATGTATTTAGACTATGTGCTGAGTGAGTGTGTGAGGCTTGATGGCTAACTCTGCAGGGAGAGATGGAGAGAGAGGGAAAATGAGGGAGAGCTTGTGAATGCGATGGATAGCGAGAAAGAGGGAGGTGGGAGGTAGGAAATGAGGAGGGAGGGTGGAGGGGTTGTTAGTTCTCTGTTTCTCAGGGAGATGCGGTTCAGCTGCTGTACAGTGGAAATATGAGGTCTTCAGAGAGCTGTGAAAGAGAGAGGGAGCTAGAGCAGAGGGAGAAAGAGAAAGAGAGAGCTGTAAAAGTCTGCTTTCTGGAAACACTTCAGTCTGGGGTAGCTGAGGTCGGGGAGGGGAATGGACTCACTGCTCCAGAAGAGTAGTACAGAGATTAACATTAATGTGTGTGTGTGTGTGTGTGTGTGTGTGTGTGTGTGTGTGTGTGTGTGTGTGTGTGTGTGTGTGTGTGTGTGTGTGTGTGTGTGTGTGTGTGTGTGTGTGTGTGTGTGTGTGTGTGTGTGTGTGTGTGTGTGTGTGTGTGTGTGTGTGTGTGTGTGTATGTATGTATGTATGTATGTATGTATGTCTACTAGTGTGTGTCTGACAGGAGGGTTGTCATGGAAGCTATCTGAACGTTAATTACCCAGAGGGCATTGCAGTGCGAGGTGCAGGATGTCACAGTCACATGGTTGTCTCCTTGCATGGAATGTCACGCATGCACAAACATACGCAGGTGTGTTAGGCCTAATATGTGTATAAATATGTTTACATTGATGCTCCTTTGTCTATGGTTTGTGTGTATGTGTCGTGGGGTGGGGTGGTTACCATGGTGACGCTCTAATATACAAGGGTGGTGGTGTGTGTTAGGGTATGTGTGTCTATGGGGGGGGGGGGATTGACCCTAGGCCATGTCATCATCAGTGTCGCGTCACATGACCGTTGTATAGCCCATAATGCCTGCCCTGCAAACACATACACACACACATGCACACGTCCCCACCCCCTAATATGTGTCTCAGTTTGAGCCTTAATTTGTCTGTCATGCCATACCCAGGTACCCTCAGGTAACATCCATGTCCTTAATGTTGTTGTAGCGTAACAGGAGCTGTCTCTCATTAGATGTGTAGGATAATAGTATAATAGGAGGTGGTCGTAATGATGTGATGCTACGTGACACGGTGACACCATTCACTGTGGGTGATTTGTCTTTATAAATACACACCACAGGAGGTTGGTGGCACCTTAATTGGGGAGAATGGGCTCGTGGTAATGACTGGAGCGGAATCAGTGGAATGGTATCAAGTACGTCAAACTCATAGTTTCCAGGTGTTTGATGCCATTCCATTTGCTCCGTTCCGGCCATTATTATGAGCCGTTCCCTCCTCAGCAGCCTCCTGTGATACACACATACTACACACATATAAGCACACATGCACACTCACACACATCGTGATGTTATTTTCAGGCCTCAGTCCTCATTATTTCCAGTCAGCACTACTAGTGCTAGCAGGCGTTTGAGTCACACTGAAGCTGTTTTGCTTGAACGGAAGATCAACTATGAGTAGCATTTTGATTCTGAGTGTTGCTGTTTTTAACTGAACTTCCTTCCACTGTGGTGTCCATGACGTCATACAGGCTTCCATATAGACGTGAGCGCTTTAGGACATCACAGTTGAATTCACTAAATCACTGTGGAACAATAGGCAGGAGTGGAGTGGAGTGGAGCGAATGTGAACACTGAACAGTGAACACAGTAGCTAACTGATATCACTGTTGTTATTCGCTGTTGTGAGCCAGTAGCCAAGAATACAGGAAGTATTGTGTTAACCTGTAGCCTTGGACAGCTTAGCTCAGTCCCCCTCTAAAGCTATTATCTCCCTGTTGCTAAACTGGGTTGTATGGAGGTACTGAGCTTGGGAGAGAGACACCTAGTGGCACTAGTATACAACTGCAGGTGATATCTGTCTCTTCTTCCTATTTCTCTCTCTCTCTCTCTCTCTCTCTCTCTCTCTCTCCTCTCTCTCTCTCTCTCTCTCTCTCTCTCTCACACTCTCTCTCTCTCTCTCCCTCTTTCCCTCTCTCGTCAGACCTGTCGAGGAATCGTTTGGCGGAGGTCCCCTCGGAGGTGTGTCACCTGGTCGCCTTGGAATCGCTGAACCTCTATCACAACTGTATCAAAACTATTCCTGACACCATTATCAGCCTACAGTCACTCACCTCCTTAAACCTCAGGTAAGACTTGGACCTACAGTTAACAGGTGACTGTGTTGAGTGAGAAACACATTCGTTTTCAATGATATTAGAAACACCTCCATTCTTTTTCCAAGAGTTGCTGAATATCAGTGGTTGATCCTTAAAGTTGTGTTGGCACAGTTATCCCTATGAGGTGCCAGTATTGGTTCAGTAATGGATTAAATACAATAGATGTCAGTTGATATTTGATAAGCAGAAGAGGGTTAACAGTTAGCAGTAAGCAGTAGTCTGTTCGGCCCATGGCTTGTTAAGACCCAGGTGTTTGGTGCCAACTGTTCCCCAGGGCTGACACCCTTGTTAGCCTTCATGCATCACGACACCTCTCAACGGGCTGATGTCACCACTTCCAAACTCATGGCAGGACCACAAGGCAACAGCACATCCTGTCTGTCTGTGTTTGTGTAATACGCTATGATCTCATACCCAGGTCACTCTTACTGTTTCATTCTATCTTTCTCCAGTGTCCACTCACTCTTTATCTAGCTATCGACAGAGAGAGATATAGATAGATAGATAGAGAGAGATAGATAGATAGATAGATAGATAGATAGATAGATAGATAGATAGATAGATAGATAGATAGATAGATAGATAGATAGATAGATAGATAGATAGAAAGAAAATGAGAGCGCGAGAGAGAAAGAAGAGCAGAGAGAGAGAGATGAGAGAGAGGTAGGGAGAGAGAATGGGGAAGAGGGAGAGAGAAAGACAGACAGAGCGAGAGAGAGACAGATGGGGAGAAGGAGAGACATAAAGGGAGAGGGAGGGAGAGCGAAAGTGTCATCATATCAGTGCTAACCTGTTTTTCTACTGCCAGCTGTATGCGTCATCAACCTGAGACAGACTCAGTATTCTCTGTCCTTCATGTCTCTAATGTCTTCATCCATGCTCACACCACCGTGTAAGGCAAATGCATTAGTCATATCTCTGACACACACACACACACACAGATAGAAGAGCAAACATACACGCACATGCGCATGCATGAATTCACGCATGAATACGCATATCGTGTTGCGGTCATATCACTCAGGTTAAGTTAATTAGTAATTTAATAAGTGATTAATTTAATTAGTTATCTAAATGATACATCTGAAGGAAGTCTAGTTTATCTTCTCATCACTGAGCTGATGTAGGGTAAAGTGTGTGTGTCTGTGTGTGTGTGTGCGTGTGTGTGTGTGTGTCTGAGTATAATGTGATGTGAGCGCCACAGTGACAGCGCCAGGGGATGTGTTTTACACCACTAGACATGAATGTTATCAGACACCGGCAGATATTCTCATTTAAATATGTGGCTTTTCATAACGGAGTCAAAACAGGAAATAGAGAATGCTCTCCATGTCTGCACCAGGAACACATAAAAAGGACTGCTTTATTTTTAGGATCGTTCTGTTCCTGGCCTGTATCATGGTGGAAAGAGAATGAAAGCTCTTTGTTGTCTAGATCAGTGGTTCCCAACCAGGGGTACTAGGACCCCTAGGGATACTTGGCCTATCCACACGGGATACTTGAGAAGACTCATGAGACCATAGGCCTGCTGGAAAATGCACACGAGGGTGTACTTCAGGGATACTTCGGGAAGAGCAAAGTTCAGTTGGTGGTACAGTAACTACAGTATCTAGACCACTAGTGTAGATTGAATTTGGCAGTTGTAAAAAACCAACAACCTTATTTTGAAGTTGTCTAGGAAATTTACATTTTAGTCATTTAGCAGACGCTCTTATCCAGAGCGACTTACAGTTAGTGAATACATTTTTTATTTTTTTATACTGGCCCCCCGTGGGAATCGAACCCACAACCCTGGCGTTGCAAACACCATGCTCTATCAACTGAGCTACATCCCTGCCGGCCATTCCCTCCCCTACCCTGGACGACGCTGGGCCAATTGTGCGCCGTCCATGAGTCTCCCGGTCGCGGCCGGCTGCGACAGAGCCTGGATTCGAACCAGGATCTCTAGTGGCACAGTTAGCACTGCGATGCGGCGCCTTAGACCACTGCGCCACTCAGGAGAAATGGGATGAAGGCTGTTTGGAGCTGTCAGCTGTTGTTGTCATGGAGTTTGCTGATTTCTATTGCTGCATTTTAGTGTGAAGTGCTTTCATTCTGTTAGCTTTTATTTAGGCAGGCAGCTTTTAATGTGCACTGTTGTAATGCTAGCTTGTTGCTCTATTGCGTTAGTTTGTGCTGTTGTGCTAGCTGCAGTGCAGTGTAGTGGGAGTGTAGTGTGTGCTCTTTATGATTGTGTTTTTGTCTAATGATGTGATGTCTCTTCTTGTGTGGTCCTAGCTGACAGCTCCTAGCTCCTCTCTCTTGGCCTGTGTGTTGTTATGTTACTACTCCACAGGGCTTTCCATTCTGCTAACACAGTTAGCTAATGCTAGCTAATGCTGTTATGAATGAAAAAGATTTGTACCTACACACTGAAGAAGGCTGCAAAGTTGAAACGTATGATGCAGTAAAAAATAAATAAAAATGAAGTAAGCTTTATCTTTTTGAGTGCAGACCGATCACACTTAGATAAAATTATGGGATTCAGCCAGTGTTGTCTATACCTTCTCCCTCATCATAATGGAGTGGATCTAAGTGGATCTTGTGGGAGGATCCTAGAGAGGAACTCATCCCGTCTATAATCTCTTGGATCAGAGACGGAGACAGTGTTTGACAGCTCTGGCTTTGTGGAGGCTTTGGCAAGCCCCTGGACTGCACTGTTCCCCAATACTGGAAGGGGGGCCTGAGTGAAAAAGTTTGGGAACCGCTGGTCTAATTGATTCAACGAACAAAAACACATATCTAAGTTTTGCTTTTTTAATTAACCAGAAATGTAATAGTTACTTCTGGTTGCTTTTCAAAGTTAGCTGGCTAACTCATTGATTCTGCTTTGTAGTATACCCCTCAGAACAAGAGGCTTTCCTGTGTGTGTGTGTGTGTGTGTGTGTGTGTGTGTGTGTGTGTGTGAGAGAGAGTGAGAACAGCTGGATAAACTCAGTTTCATTTCATTTCCGGAATATTCCTCCCAGTGCTGAGTCAGAGGACTTTTGCAGCCTCATGGTTTTGTGTGTGTTTGTCCATGGGTTGGTTCTTCTGTCCTTGTGGGGACCTAAAATCCCCAAAAGTCCCCACAAGTAAAACAAGGAAAATTCTCCCTTGAGGGACATTTCCCATGTCCCCATGAGGACAAAGGCTATTTTAAGCTTAAGGGTTAGGGTTACAATTAGGCTTAGGGTAAGGGTTACGGGTTAAGGTTAGCTTTAGGTTTAGGGGTTAGGGAAAGTAGGACTCTGAATGTAAATCAATTTTAGGTCTCCACGAGGATAGAAGAACAAAGCATGTTTGTGTGTTTACCGATGGGTTAATTCCAGGATAATTTGGAGCCTTTGTTGTGGAGTGGAGAACTTAATTTATCTGGGGTCATCTGTAATCCACTCTGCTCATACTCTGCTCCGTCAATGTTAAAAGACCTCTCTCCCAGTCTCTCTGTCTGTCTACATTATGAGGCCTCTCTCCTATCCTCCCCTCCCTACACTGCTCTGCCACTGACATCCTGCTGTGTGCTTGCTAACTGCAGCTGTAAGCCGGAGACAGAACACCAGAAGCCTGTTTTTATGAGAGGTTTAAACTGTTTGGAGGTGTTCTGCTCTGTTTTGAAAAGGGCTTGGATTGTTTTCAAGCGTTTGGCTAACTGCTAATGTAAGCCAGGGAAGGAACACCAAAATCCTATTTTTATGAAGGGTTTTTGGAGGGTTTTGGGACTGTTTTGGGGCTGTTTTGTCGTGCTGGACTGAACTGGATTGAGATTCAGGTTGTGTGTGTTTATGTTTTGCAGAAGTACAGTACAGTGCTGGCAGAGGAAGTGTTTATTGGAAAGCTACACTACACTACACTACACACAAACAGCCATAAACACTGACTCACTGACTCGTGTACTGTAAATATGAATACCATTATGCAACACATTGTTACAATGCAGATAGTGTCCCTTTGCCTTCTCCCTCTTAAGTTGAATTGATTAAAAAATATTAAAATGTCTATTTTCCCATGTAAACAAAAGCTCCTTAACAAGTCTTCCTCCCACTGGGTATATCCATGTCTTTCTTAAGGAAATTAGTTCAGTTGGTATGGGTCATGGATCATGTACTCTAATGTAAATTAATAAGGTCCAACACACATCTCATCTGACACCTTTATTGAAGTTTCCATCCAAATGGATCTTTGTCAGCTCTAGATGGTAGACACTCTGGACATCCCATTCATCTCTCTCTGATCAGCATCTCTCAGTGTCAGTCGTCATGCTGTCTCAGGCTGTGTGTAATATATAGCGGTTTGTGTTCACAGTCGGAACCAGCTGTGTGCTCTGCCAGCCTGTCTGTGTGGGTTGCCCCTACGAGTCCTCAATGCCAGCAACAACAAGCTGGTGTGTATACCTGAGGCCATCGGTCAGCTCAGAAGCCTCATGGAGCTGGTAAGAGTCTCTCTCTCTCTCTCTCTCTCTCTCTCTCTCTCTCTCTCTCTCTCTCTCTCTCTCTCTCCTCTCTCCTCTCTCCTCTCTCCTCTCTCCTCTCTCTCCTCTCTCTCTCTCTCTCCTCTCTCCTCTCTCCTCTCTCCTCTCTCCTCTCTCCTCTCTCCTCTCTCTCTCTCTCTCTCTCTCTCCTCTCTCCTCTCTCTCTCAAAATGCCAGACACAGCTCTTAGTTTCCTGTGTGAGTTCCTGGCCAGGCTTAGCCTTACGTAACTGTACTGTTCTTCACTGAGTGGTGAAATGAATGGAACCAGTCCTCATGGAGGTAGCGCTGCCAGCAAACAGGGGAGGAGGGGAGACTTTGTTTGACTCCATGTGAGGAGACAGGCTAGACCAGTGGGATAGGAAGCAATGGGGCTGTAATAGGGATGTGTCATGAGCCATACAAACCCCTTACCTTAGGTCCTGTACACCAGGTGTGACCAACCATCCTCGTGTAGAGCTACTGGGTTTACAGACCAGACCTTCTCTGACACACCTGATTCTACTTATCTGCTGCTCATCATTACCTTGATTAGTTGAATCAGGTGTGTTTGAGTAGGACTAGAACAAAATCCTGCACACACACCAGAAAGTAATATTTGTGTGTGAGTTAACTCAGTGTGTTGTGCCCCCTACAGGATGTGAGCTGTAATGAGATCACTGCTCTGCCCCGTCACATCGGCCGACTCAAGGCCCTCAGAGAACTCAACGTCCGCAGGAACCTGCTCTGTGTCCTACCTGAAGGTGAGTTTAACCTCTGTTCACAAGAGGAATTCTACAGGAAAACTTCCACAGGTGCGTCTAGAAAATATCAATATATTCCAAGCTGTATTGCAAGCCCAGCCAAATAAGAGCCAGACAGATCTAATTTATAATCACTGTGTCTGTGTCTCAGACAGATCTATGATCCAGTCTCCTGGTATGTCTCATGGCCCAAGGGTATTGAGCAGCACTAGTCTTTGTGGTTTGAGATGTCTAGTAGAGCAGTGTTTCCCAACTCCAGTCCTCAAGTACCTCCAACAGCATACATTTTTGTTGTAGCCCCGGACAAACTCACCTGATTCAACTCATTGAGGGCTACAACAAGAATGTGTGTTGTACTGGAGGACTGGAGTTGGGAAACACTGCTGTAGAATAAAAGACGTCTGTGACAGGACGCTCTCTAAGTCCGAGAGACGCCACCCGTCATCTGTCAGAACCTGGCAACCTCTCGTTGTCTGAATGATGGACGAGTATTGTTCCGAATATTCTTCCTACATATTTTCCCCGGATGCGTCTCTATTGTAGATTTACAGTCAGTGATTTCTGATCGCGCTGCAGATGCTCCATCTATAATTTTTGGGTTTGATTGATGAGCCTGGATCTGGCCAGGCGGCTCGACTCCCATGGGTGGAGGACAGGAGTGGAGACAGGAGATTGGACGAGAAGCCTGGGGAGGAGGGGGATGTTGGGAAATAGAGTTTTAGATTATTTGTTGAACTTTTGGGGCATCACTCCTCAAATGTATTTTGGAGAGACCCCCTTCCTGGGCCACCAAGGCACTAAAGTATTGTAGTTACCCTGCCAAAGATTGTCAATGACAGGAAAGTGTTTATTTTTATTGTATTTTATTCCTATGGTTACCTATACGGTAGGTGATATGGATGCTGAAAATATTGTCTGAAGGTTGAGATCCTGTTGTAGAATATGTTGGTAAAGTCCTTGAAAGCTTTGGAAATGGAATTGATTCACTGGACTCTATACAGGATGAGATTTCCCCCTTTTTATACTGAATGATGGTAAGAAATCCCTCATAGAAGTTATTCTAAGGGGTGACCTTGAGGGAAGAGGACGTGAGAGACTTTCTCATTTCAGCTAATTAAGAGAAGAAGTGTACTCTGCTGGTTGGTTTTAAAAATAATATTTGGGGCTCTCCCTCATGGCCTCCCTGCTAAGATTATCTCCGTTGTCTCAGAGTGATTTTAATTATAAAAGGTTGTCAGAGAGATAAAGTCATAATTGTTTCGCTTGAATTACGACCTCTTGGGGAATGTGTTGCTGGCACAGAATTGCTGAGACTCTCTCGCTCTGTCTTTGTTACTATTTCTCTGTTTCTCTCTCTCTCTCTTTCTCGCTCTCTGTCATTTACCTCTCACTGTCTATTTTCTCTATCCATCTGATTTCAGGACTACTTTATCCCATTTGCCCATAAAATGCATGTGATACGACAAAGTTACACCAGTAACACCCAGCGCTGCTATTTATTGTAACAGTATTTTCCAAGTCTGTGGTTTTCTTCTGTTTCCTAGCAATGTCTCTCCTCTCATATTGACTGGGTCATAGTGGTTTGTGCTGAGGTTAGCGCCTAGGATACGTTCCTTCAGTTAATTTTTAACTTTTGGCATGGTCCACATTAGCGGAACTTTGGCAGTGAGGGAGTCTTGAAGTATCAGGGCTGCTGGGCTCTGTGGGTTTCTAGGGGGGAAAAGTTCTGTCTGAGGATCCCAGTGCACAAACACACACATGCACACACACACACACACACACACACACATAACAATTACTCCTTAAACTCTAGGGATTGTGTGTTTGTCCCTCAGACTTGGCGGAGCTTCCCCTGGTGAAGTTTGACTTCTCCTGTAACAAGGTGTCCACCATCCCAGTGTGCTACAGGAAGATGGCCCAGCTCCAGAACCTACAGCTGGAGAACAACCCCCTACAGAGCCCCCCTGCACAGGTCGGTCTGGGGCTACGGCTGTCTCCACAGCTTGGCATGTCATACGGAGCAATGGAATATAGCATTCATCATAGGGCATGTCTCTCTGTGTGTTCTGTTTTAGCTATTTGTGTACCTTCTACTTTTGTATCAGTCATCTACTTGCTCTAATTCACCCATTGATTATCTGTTTTCTAGATCTGCATGAAAGGCAAAGTTCACATATTTAAGTACCTGAGCATTGAGGCATGTCGGAGTGACAAGATGCCTGATTCTCTCTATCTGCCTGTCATGGAGCGCCTCAGCCTATCACGACCCGCCGCCGGCAGGTGAGTTGCTATGCCAACCCTAACGGAGGCAACTGTTAGTGCTGGGCTGGTTCAAAAGCCTGCACACACTTTGGCTCTCCAGGACCACTGATTTACCAATGTGTATTGTGCCAGATTCTCCATCAGACCTGGGTTCAAATACTATTTCAAGTGTCTCAATTACTTTCACATACATTTGAAGTAAGTATTCAGATATATTTTATTTTAAAAGAATAGTAGTTGAATATTGTAATTTTTGTAAATGCACTTGGAAAGTTTTTGAAATACTCAAGGACACTGACGCAAATACACTCCCATGCATTTAACCCAGGTGTTTAAAAATAGTATTTGAAATAAGTATTTGAAAATACTGTAATATACAATTTGTCAGACTATTTGGTTTTTACAAATAACCATTCAAATACTCAAATAAAAGTACTTGTTTTGGGCTGTGTATTGGAAAATACTCCAATACAGAGAAAAAGTATTTTAAATACCAGATACTCAAATACATGTGTTTGAACCCAGGTCTGTTTTCCATTAATAACTGTTGTTTTAGTGCTGTGGCTGAGCCTTCGTCTTTCAGTGTGTATGAGAGTGAAGTGTTTTACAGGAAGGTAGGATCTTATGTTCTGTAATGTGCCTACTGAGGTATAAAGAACTGCGTCCAAGATGTCCAACCGTTGTTTTCAAGGTAATCTACTCACATTCACATACGCCAATTCATGGATCGTCTATATCCGGGTTGCATCCGGTTTACATGGACCAACATTACATGTGCACTAGCATTCAGTGTCATCACGTCATCCAGAACATTGGATGAATATAAAATGTTAATATCTTCGGCTGTGAGAGATGGATTTTATTTGTTGCCTCACAACAATTATTTCAATAATTCAATGGATGTTTTGTGCACAAAGGTGATGACTAAAGTCTCGTATTAGGAATTTTCTAATCTGACTTCTCTATGTAGCCATCAATGGAAATTGTCTTTCTGGGCCAGGTGTCAGTTAAATTGCAGGACCGAAACAAGACTGTAGGAGCAGTCGAAACTGTGCTTCTAGACCGGAACCCTGGGCCTTTGTTTGTGCCCTTTAATGCCTGCCCCCACCACTATAACCCACCCCACTGCAACGCGTGGGCAGGAAAATGGTTCCTTTTGTCCGGGAGAGCTTAGAGACTCACACTCACATCCCACTCACATACACACACTCCTGGCAATGGAGGAAAAGAGCAGCAGAACTATTTATAATACAGCCATAGAGACCCACAGTACTGGAATCCAACAGACTTGTCCAATGACTTGTCCAATGTTTCAGTAGAACTACATTCACATTGATTCTCATTTGACTGATATATTGAATGATGATAGTGATGGCGAATGTGTGAGGCCAGAATGGGATAGATATGAATGAAGATAAGGACAGATATGCCATATGCTTCACAGTGATCAGTGAACATGCTCCCTAGGGATGCAAATGTAGGTGGCCTAGAAACAACGAGACGTGTGTGCGCGTGCATCTGTGTGTGTGAGAAGTGTATCTCAGACCACATCACCATTCAGTTGTCTGGAGACTCCGTTAGTAGATCACTTCCCTCGAATGTAGCTTCCATGTGTGTGTGAGAGAGCGTTTATGTGAGTATGTGAGTGAGAGCAAGAGAAAGAGAGAGAGTGACAGAGCCCTGCTGTGTCTGTGTGTGAGAGAGCGATTAGACGCTGCTATCTCTGTCATTTTCTCTCCTCTTTCCTCTCTCCTCCGCGTGCCTTTTTACCTCCTGACCCTGGCCGTCCCATAATCCTCCTCTCTCACCCCTCACCCCTCTCTTCTCAGCACGGAGGACATTGACCAGAATAAGAAACAGGACACTGACTCAGGAGTTGGCAGCGACAACGGGGACAAGAGACTGTCTGCCACCGAGGTAGGATGAGGGGGTGTTTGTGAGTTTGTGTTTGTGTTCACGTGCATGCATGCATGCACACGCTTGCACTCATGCATGCACATACTGAATGTGTGTAACATATGCATTTTGTATTCTACAGTATACATTCTCAAACAAAAAACTATTATGGTTCCTTTGTTTTGCGTCATAACATGAACGTTTAGAAATGTACACATCTGCCTGGTGAAGTTGAATAGTCTCTTCAAAGCAGTTCTGGACTCTGACAGTTGAGCACACAGCCACAGCCTGATATCTTCTATCTTTCTTTCTATCATTTGTTTGTTCTTTCATTTTTTTCTTTCTTACTTTCATATACGCTTGTTCACCATGACCTCACTGTGTTTTGTGGTGACCAGATAAAAGTAATGAGTAAGATGGATATTGTCAGGTATGATACGACACTTCTCTAGAATGATGCATTTGGGATGTGTTATTGAAGAGAACCCAATTCTGAGTATCTGTTCAGCAGTATGTTGCACTTTGATGTTTGAAAAAATGTTTAGTAGCTGAAACATTTGGCTTATTCTGACTGAAATACACACTGTTGCGTTGTAGCAGTTGTAGAGATGCTTTGATTTTGTTTCAGTAACATAAATGTTTGCTGGTGTTTTTGATAACTGAGCTGTGTGGATGTTTCAGCCTTCAGACGAGGACAGCTTAAGTCTCAATGTCCCCATGTCACACATCACAGAGGAGGAGGGGCTAAGCAAAGACGACTCCAGCGAACACATCAGCGCTCTAACAGGTAAACCCCCCCCCCCACCCCCCACACACACACGCACACACACACACACACGCACACACAAACACACACTTTTTTGACACCACACTCCACAAAGCAAGTCCTGCAGGTTTTATCTAGTTTTATCTTATCTTGATTATTGACCAATCATATGGTGAAGTGCTGCAAAGAAAGACCGTGTTAAGCTGTCGCCATTGGCATCGGCTAATCGGGATCATAATAATTTAAAGAAATTGAATTTAAAAAACACACACACAAAATGAAAGTAACCACAACATGGTCTGAATGATTCCTAGTCCAACATATGACTAGACACTCTCAGTGTGGATATCTCAATCCTAACCTGTCAATGAGTAACCGTCCACCCCTGATAACAGCCCTCCTGAATGGGAGAAGGGGACAGCCTGTGTGTGAGGCACAATGTCTGTCTTTCCGGATGCCAGACATGGTCAGGTTGGGATAACACAGTAACACAGCCCAGACAGATACTGTAGAGAGGCCTCTGGTTTATGTCCCTATCTGCCACCAGAGGAAACAGAGGATAGAAACATTGTCACTGTTGCGCTAAAGAGAGGAAGTGGGATAAAAGAGATGTTTCCGGAGCCTTCACTATGTCTCTCTGTGGCTCAGTGGGTAGTTTTTCCTGATTTGTTGTTTTTGAGGGGGATGGAGGGTGCTCTGGGGGAGTGTTGACTCTGGCTAAACTCTGAGGAGTGTGTGTGCGCATGAATGTGTGTGTGTGATGGGGACAGGGAGTAAAGATATACACCAGGAAGGCTATGTCAGCACACCCAGGGAGTAGTCTGGGAGGGCGTCACTGATAGGCTGGCGGGCCTCAGACTTGGTGGGAATGGCGTTGAAAGTGACTGTGTGTACAGTACAAATGTGTGTGTTAAATGGCAGGCTTAATCAGATTGACTTAGATAAGAGAAGTTGGGGTCCGTCACCTTTTAGTCCCTAAGCCCTCTAATGGATTGGAAGACACCAGCCTGGTACAAAAATGGTGGACTCATCCATACTGTAGAATATAGTAGCAGACAGCAGAATACAGCTACCTCTATCCAGAGCTATCAGAGTTTCTGGGCTGTTATAGCATCTGATGGATTCTCTGTAGACCATCACTCCCGGACCAGAAGAGTGGCTTTTAATAGACCACCTCGATCTCTCTCAATCAGGTCAGAGAGAGGGAGAGAGAGTGGGAATTGTGCAGCTTCTCTCTGTAGGTTTCTAGACCATGAGTTAAAATCCTACAGCAGCACTCTGATAAACCCAAATGATAAAACAAGGCAAAAAAACCGATATATATATATACAGTGGGGAGAACAAGTATTTGATACACTGCCGATTTTGCAGGTTTTCCTACTTACAAAGCATGTAGAGGTCTGTAATTTTTATCATAGGTACACTTCAACTGTGAGAGGCGGAATCTAAAACAAAAATCCAGAAAATCACATTGTATGATTTTTAAGTAATTAATTTGCATTTTATTGCATGACATAAGTATTTGATACATCACAAAAGCAGAACTTAATATTTGGTACAGAAACCTTTGTTTGCAATTACAGAGATCATACGTTTCCTGTAGGTCTTGACCAGGTTTGCACACACTACAGCAGCAATTTTTTTAGCCCACTCCTCCATACAGACCTTCTCCAGATCCTTCAGGTTTCGGGGCTGTCGCTGGGCAATACGGACTTTCAGCTCCCTCCAAAGATTTTCTATTGGGTTCAGGTCTGGAGACTGGCTAGGCCACTCCAGGACCTTGAGATGCTTCTTACGGAGCCACTCCTTAGTTGCCCTGGCTGTGTGTTTCGGGTCGTTGTCATGCTGGAAGACCCAGCCACGACCCATCTTCAATGCTCTTACTGAGGGAAGGAGGTTGTTGGCCAAGATCTCGCGATACATAGCCCCATCCATCCTCCCCTCAATACGGCGCAGTCGTCCTGTCCCCTTTGCAGAAAAGCATCCCCAAAGAATGATGTTTCCACCTCCATGCTTCATGGTTGGGGTGGTGTTCTTGGGGTTGTACTCATCCTTCTTCTTCCTCCAAACACGGTGAGTGGAGGTTAGACCAAAAAGCTCTATTTTTGTCTCATCAGACCACATGACCTTCTCCCATTCCTCCTCTGGATCATCCAGATGGTCATTGGCAAACTTCAGACGGGCCTGGACATGCGCTGGCTTGAGCAGGGGGACCTTGCGTGCGCTGCAGGATTTTAATCCATGACGGCGTAGTGTGTTACTAATGGTTTTCTTTGAGACTGTGGTCCCAGCTCTCTTCAGGTCATTGACCAGGTCCTGCCGTGTAGTTCTGGGCTGATCCCTCACCTTCCTCATGATCATTGATGCCCCAGGAGGTGAGATCTTGCATGGAGCCCCAGACCGAGGGTGATTGACCGTCATCTTGAACTTCTTCCATTTTCTAATAATTGCGCCAACAGTTGTTGCCTTCTCACCAAGCTGCTTGCCTATTGTCCTGTAGCCCATCCCAGCCTTGTGCAGGTCTACAATTTTATCCCTGATGTCCTTACACAGCTCTCTGGTCTTGGCCATTGTGGAGAGGTTGGAGTCTGTTTGATTGAGTGTGTGGACAGGTGTCTTTTATACAGGTAACGAGTTCAAACAGGTGCAGTTAATACAGGTAATGAGTGGAGAACAGGAGGGCTTCTTAAAGAAAAACTAACAGGTCTGTGAGAGCCGGAATTCTTACTGGTTGGTAGGTGATCAAATACTTATGTAATGCAATAAAATGCAAGTTAATTACTTAAAAATCATACAATGTGATTTTCTGGATTTTTGTTTTAGATTCCGCCTCTCACAGTTGAAGTGTACCTATGATAAAAATTACAGACCTCTACATGCTTTGTAAGTAGGAAAACCTGCAAAATCGGCAGTGTATCAAATACTTGTTCTCCCCACTGTATATATATATATCGGTTTTTTTGCCTTGTTTTATCATTTGGGTTTATCAGAGTGCTGCTGTAGGATTTTAACTCATGGTCTAGAAACCTACAGAGAGAAGCTACACAATTCCCACTCTCTCTCCCTCTCTCTGACCTGATTGAGACGTTTACATAGACTTTAGCCAAATACATTTAGTCAAATACACAATTCCTGACATTTAATCCTAGTAATAATTCCCTGTCTTAGGTCAGTTAGGATCACCACTTTATTTGAAGAATGTGAAATGTCAGAATAATAGTAGCGAGAATGATTTATTTCAGCTTTTATTTCTTTCATCACATTCCCAGTGGGTCAGAAGTTTACATACACTCAATTAGTATTTGGTAGCATTGCCTTTAAATTGTTCAACTTGGGTCAAACGTTTCGGTTAGCCTTCCACAAGCTTCCCACAATAAGTTGGGTGAATTTTGGCCCATTCCTCCTGACAGAGCTGGTGTAACTGAGTCAGGTTTGTAGGCCTCCTTGCTCGCACACGCCTTTTCAGTTCTGCCCACACATTTTCTATAGGATTGAGGTCAGGGCTTTGTGATGGCCACTCCAATACCTTGACTTTGTTGTCCTTAAGCCATTTTGCCACAAGTTTGGAAGTGTCATTGTCCATTTGGAAGACCCATTTGCGACCAAGCTTTAACTTCCTGACTGATGTCTTGAGATGTTGCTTCAATATATCCACATAATTTTCCTTCCTCATGATGCCTTCTATTTTGTGAAGTGCACCAGTCCCTCCTGCAGCAAAGCACCCCCACAGCATGATGCTGCCACCCCCGTGCTTCACGTTTGGGATGGTGTTCTTCAGCTTGCAAGCATCCCCCTTTTTCCTCCATACATAACGATGGTCATTATGGCCAAACAGTTATATTTTTGTTTCATCAGACCAGAGGACATTTCTCCAAAAAGTACGATCTTTGTCCCCATGTGCAGTTGCAAACCGTAGTCTGTCTTTTTTATGGCGGTTTTGGAGCAGTGGCTTCTTCCTTGCTGAGCGGCCTTTCAGGTTATGTCGATATAGGACTTGTTTTACTGTGGATATAGATAATTTTGGACCTGTTTCCTCCAGCATCTTCACAAGGTCCTTTGCTGTTGTTCTGGGATTGATTTGCACTTTTCGCACCAAAGTATGTTCCTCTAGGAGACAGAACATGTCTCCTTCCTGAGCGGTATGACGGCTGCGTGGTCCCATGGTGTTTATACTTGCGTACTATTGTTTGTACAGATGAACGTGGTACCTTCAGGCATTTGGAAATTGCTCCGAAGGATGAACCAGACTTGTGGAGGTCTACAAATTTTTTTCTTAGGTCTTGGCTGATATCTTTTGACTTTCTCATGATGTCAAGCAAAGAGGCACTGAGTTTGAAGGTAGGCCTTGAAATACATCCACAGGTACACCTTCAATTGACTCAAATGATGTAAATTAGCCTATCAGAAGGTTCTAAAGCCATGACATCATTTTCTGGAATTTTCTAAGATGTTAAAAGGCACAATCAACTTAGTGTATGTAAACATCTGACCCACTGGAATTGTGATACATTGAATTATAAGTGAAATAATCTGTCTGTAAACAATTGTTGGAAAAATAACTTGTGTCATGCACAAAGTAGATGTCCTAACCGACTTGCCAAAACCATAGTTTGTTAACAAGACATTTGTGGAGTGGTTGAAAAACGAATTTTAATGACTCCAACCTAAGTGTATGTAAAATTCCGACTTCAACTGTGTGTATATATATATATATATATATATATATATATATATATATATATATATATATATATATATATATATATATATATATATATATATATACAGTGAGGGGAAAAAAAGTATTTGATCCCCTGCTGATTTTGTATGTTTGCCCACTGACAAAGACATGATCAGTCTATAATTTTAATGGTAGGTTTATTTGAACAGTGAGAGACAGAATAACAACAACAATAAATCTAAAAAAACGCATGTCAAAAATGTTATAAATTGATTTGCATTTTAATGAGGGAAATAAGTATTTGACCCCTCTGCAAAACATGACTTAGTACTTGGTGGC